TTAATAACTGAAATTTGTTTCTTGTTGCAGTACATTTCAGTTTCTGTGTAAAAAACTCAATTTTTAAATAAAAAAACTAGATTTTTGTATTTTCATAAATATCAAAATATGATTAAAAGTCAATCCAATTTCAAATGTTGTTAAATTTTAATTTAGAAATTAATATTAACTTCTGACAAAAGGAACCTCCCTAGGTAGATCAGAATAAAAATTAATCCAGGTAAAAAACATAGCTAATTGAATATACATTTTAACTTATAATGATTAGAGAAATTGTTTGATCAGTTTGGTATCCTTGCTGTTATTGATATTTTCAGTTGCAATCCCAATATCTCATGAGGTTGTCAGCTTAGAAGATTTAGATTAATTTTAAACCCACATACTAAGCTAACAATACAAAATAATCCTTATGATATATAATAGATTAAAAATAATAAAGTAGATAAATTTAACATCCTTACCAATACTGTTAGTGAAATTCACACTAAAAAACAATAAAGTATAACTTACTTACCAATGTCAATGTTTGTAATTCACTATTTATCTCATCATGTATAAGAATTTTGTGTGTCACATACACTTGATTTGATACATATTATCTTGTTAGACTTTAAGCTTGTAACACAAAAAAAATCAACTTAGCAGTAAATATGTGTGGAATTCAATTATTCACATTCATGCCAGAATTGTTCTACACTGGCACAAAATAACCTAGCTTAACTAAACCTTTACACCTAAAATATGCAAAACTTTTGTTACTATTCTGGAACCCAATTTATGTTAGATACTAGCACAAATAACTGTGCTTTGTGATCAAATAAAAAATTACTGAGAAATAATGATAAAGCACAGTTATTTATATGATGTTTCACTCTTCAGGCATCAGGGAAACTTAATGTTGTTAGAAGCCAGGCAATAAAATTAAAAAATAAACTACATGTGAAAAAGTAAACATAAGAAATTGGGAATGACCTAAAATCCTATTTTGAAAACATCATTTATTGAAATAAGAAGAAAAAGGAAAGTTCCTTTTATTTGATAATTTTCAAAATTCCATTTCAGTTTCACTGTAAATTTATGATTAAGCTGCAGTTAATGTTAGGTGGAGAAAATAACAGGCAAAATACAAACTTTTAACACAAAAAAATGGATATTTATTTATATTCATCTGTAAGAATAAAAAAAGTATTTTTAGCAAGGAAAATCACCTTGCACGCAGACCAGTCAGTCGAAGTCAGACTGATTCCATCAATTCACAGAAAATGTTTTTGTAAAAATATAGCAAATATGATTTTTTTTGTGTACAACAGACTTGTAATGTTTGCTAAAATTAAAAATTTTGCCAAATTTCATAAAAATACACTAAGTTGCAATTATTGTAAATATTGCTATGTATATTCGATGACGAGGAACCCACTTTGAGACTAATAATGGCTGGAGACGGCTTAAATGGGTAACGAAGAAAAACTTTAATATAAGTTTTTCTTCATTACCCATTTAAGCCGTCTCCAGCCATTGCTATGTATAGTTGCACAGGAACAGAGGTTGGTGTTAAACACCCTCACCACCTCAACAGATTTAAGACAATAAGCAGTATTTAAATTCTTACACTTTCTTTTTTCTTTTTTGCAATTCCTGCTCAACTTGTAAAAACTGAAGAACTACATTGAATTTTTTTTTCAATTTTGCATTCCATGGGGATGATCTGACAATGAGAACATTATTTTTGATACTGTGTTTTGGCAAGGTCTACTATTCAGCTATTATTTGTGCTGCATAGATAAGAAACAGTCTAATATTTTTGTCAAACTACTGAAAACTTTAATTTCCAACACAAA